AAAGAATAAAAATGTCACGTTCGTGCATCGTGACTAAGGTTCAATTATCCAACTGTGCTCTAGTTTTCATTCCAAATTAGAAAGCATATTCTAGGCCAAGTGACCGTCAGTTTTGGTAATGCATACCAAAAATGACGGTAAAAATGTCCCAACAGAAATTTGAGACTACTTGTATTTCTTAAATTTACTCAATTCGTCTCCATTCAGTTTACAACCTGCCATGGACAACTGGTAGGCCCGTGGATGTAAAATGTCTTTAAATTTCAACTTAAACGGGGGAAAAGAGCCCCTTTTTCGGAACTCGCTTCCACACAAAAACACCAGCGCCATTGGGACACTCGAGTACGTATATATACGTTATTATTATTTATGCATGGGAGTCGAGTAACGGGTCGTGTCGAACCGGTCTTTGGACGGGGGCCCCGTTTTTCTCTCCCACTCGGACGACTCGACACACGCACGTACACACCTACACACGAAATATCGGATATAAAAGCTCCCGATTGCGTGACCAGTGATTTTCGGGCCGAAAACTCTCAGCTGTTCATACATATGTATGTATAGCGCCCTTTTTCGTCTCCTCTCCCGAGAGTCTTATTCGTTTATGGCCACGAAAGCCGACTTTGGCGAGAATCCGGAAATTCTCGCGACGCGACCATATTATTTCTCGAGCGTCGGTAATATTCGGCGCTTCTCGAAAAAAGGACGCCCATAAATCGTCGCCTTTCTTTAATCTTGTTTTCGTTTTTCTGAGAGGCGTTTCCCCCCTATAGGTGCACACGACACTTGTAAACGTGAATTGTTCTTTTCTTCTCGCCCAACTTGACCTTGGGCCGCGTTTGTACTGCGGTGGTTGTAATGCTTTTTTTTTTTTTTTTTTTTTTCGTTCATCAGGTACGTGTGAGTTTCGCTGCAAAATCAAACCAAAACTACAAATGTATATGAGTGTACTTTACACTGAGTAAACGACTGACAGATTTTTAGGGGAGTCATTTTTTCTCAGAAAGACTGAATATAAAATATATTCTAAAGTGATGGACACTGGCAACGCAAGAATATACTTTGAATAAACATATCGATTAATGCTCTCTACAAACATGNTTTTTTCTTCACTACTCTCCTGTGGTGGGGACGACAAGTCGTTTTGGTCGGTGGCGACACGATTGGAAATCCGAGCGGGAAATGCTAATTTCCTCTCTGGTTTATAGCTTTTTGGAATCCAGTCGTCAAACCCACGGATAAAAGGGACACGAGATGTAAAATCACGATAAAAATCCCACTGCTTTTTGGAATAAAAACGCTCGTCGTTTATGTCTCATATTTTACAAGCACTACTTACCGTGATTTCGACTGTTCTGGCGAGTTTTTCCGGCATCTCACAATTGGATCTTACAGTGCAGAACAGCAACTTTAATTTAAAGGGAATAAATTCCACGTGTTTTTTTTTTTTTTTTTTTTTTTCAACTTGTACGATATTTTCGAGTATTTGGAAAGCAACAAAGTTTACAAATTACTGGATATCTAGAAACAAAAATGGACCATTACGCAGTTGCCGATTTTCCATTTGATGCGCGACCGTACATAACCTCAAATCAAACTCTCGATGAAAACGTCTCGGTAAAAATTCACCGCTCGCGTGAAATCTTCCTAAATCGGTTGTTCCCCACAAATAAGTACCTGTGTTTTTTTTTGCTGCTCCCCCATCTCTCCTTCCTCAACACGAAAAAGAAAAAGGTCAAAGCCGGTATTTCCGGCGCGCGTCTCTGCACGCATATATACATATACATCCTGACTACGTAGGTATAGCACGAGTCTCGGGCCGCCAAACGAAAATAGCCGGACGCGGCGGAATCGAAATAAACCGAAGCATGCGCTCCCCCAGACGAGAGCAACTCTGCTCCCGATCGGAGCCCAGGTTCTTCCAGCCCCGAGGGTTTTTTATCTTTGCTCAAAAACTCCATCAATAAATTTTGTCTTGGACGTTTAGGTGCTTTTCGAAACAGGCCGAACTTGTCTCTAATCGATTTTACCATTAATATTTCATGCACGATCAATCGCGAAATACCACGTACTTTTGAAGTCGTTCATCAACAAACGAAAAAACACGTATCTCGCTGGCCAAAACACGAAAAAGTATCACTGAATTATAATTATATATGTAGTAAATGTAACGTCTGGAGCAACAGAGACAGGTATATATACATACATGCGCAACAATAACAAATCGAGCGGATGACTCGATGAATGACCGCAGCCGCGCGACACCGCGTCATCGAGTTCGCTCTGCTTTATCATTATTATGTATATACACACGTCATATGCGCGACATGGGAAAGAATACGAAAGTGACCTTTTCAAATGACTCATTGCTTCTGCCCCTTTTTTAAAAACACAATAAGCGTTGCTCTCCCGCAAGAGTGACGAGACTTTGAAAAGCGCGTGCTTTTATTTATACGCGAGGCGACGATCGACTCGATGAATTTTTTTTCTCCCTCGGTTCAATTGATTACCATCGATAATTTTATTCACTTTGACGATCAATCGCGTGATACAAAACCTGTTTGAAACGGATCTTGGTTCTTTCTGTTATATATTTCATTGTACGCTAGAACTGGTTGGTTAGGAGTAGCGGGAAAAAGCCAGACAAAGTGGTAGCGCAAACAATACAAGCCTTATTTTCTGTTTTTTTGTTTTTTTTCTAGTGTATTAAAAAAAAAAAAAAAAAATGGACGCTTGCTACCGGAAACGTCGTATATCAACTCTGACCTACATTATTCTTCTTTTTTTGTCAAAATAATAAAAATAAACAAATAAAGAACCAAAGAAAAATAACCTTACAGTAAGCGACACGTAGATACTCAGTGGCTCTCTAAAGGTGGGTGCGCCCTCTGACGTCAATCCAGGAGCTTTGGCGCTCCTCGATAAATCTTGCAAGCTCTACTTGACTTCAAACAAATAATAACTCTTGCTTCTATAGTACTCGCGTGGGTCGAGCTTTTGATAAATAAACAATTTGTCGGTAACGCAGTAGCCTACTGCACCTTCGGAGCTCAACTTTGTATATTCGGCTCACGGGGAGTAAATACTCGTCAAAACAAGGGAAAGCTGAAACTTCAATGGTGATAGTAAAAAAAAGAGTCAAGCTCTGAGACACTGATGACTCTACCTTCTGTCAAGGTCGTAGCGAATGACACGCGAGAATCGTGATTCAACTGTTAAAAAGTAGCCGCGAGACGCGCGCGACTTACAAGCCAATGAGCTCGCGATACGTCAGTGTTTGATTCGCAAAACAGGTTGTGATGTTTGATTTTTTTTTTTTTTTTTTCCTATAAATTCGACATTAGAAGAAATAATCATAATAAAAAATAAACATCAATTTCGCTCTTTAAAAATTTTATTGGGTTTTAAAACGCAGTTCCGTTACTACAATACGTGTATACGGGAAGCGTCTTGAAACGTCATCGCTTCAGCCACGGACGTTATTTATTTATACGCAAACACGGTTCTAGAGGCGGGTGTTGAAATTTTTTCCTTTTCTTTCAACGACATCGCAAATCGTTGTTTTTTCTCATACGAATTTTTTTGAAGAGAAAAAAAACAGCTACTGCGGTCGTCGTTTCATTGGCTAGAAGCCAGTGCGCGAAAAAAGCGCGTGACAGGAAAGGAAGATCTTTTTTTTTTTTTTTACTCGCACAACCGAGAATAATATGAAAAAAGAAAGAATGAAATTATACAATTGCCATCAATCAGTGGTGTAGGTAACGGGAAACGAGTCTCGAGGGAGAGTACATTACGTAACTCGACAGCCCATACTATACTTAGCTTGAGATTAAAATTCAGTCTGTACGTATATATAGCAAATCGTGGGGGGGGGGCATCAACAGACCGTATAACTTTATACACACACGATGGAAACACAAGCTCATTAGCACGTAATGTAATATCCAAGCTGCACGCACGTGGCGTGGAAAATGTAGGGTGTGAGTGAGAGGGGCACTGTAACACACATTACCAACAACACGAAGGAGGAAAAAAAAAGGCGTCTTCGCCGCACGTGCCCGCATGCGATCTCACATGAATATATGTATTAAGTATGTATGTATATAGGTGATGCTTGCGCAAAACAGCGGCTGACTGTCGCAATCGCGTTTCATTCTCTATGGTCAGATATGCTTGTTATGTATTTCTGTGGCGCCTCTAGTTTCTTCTTTTTTTTTCCTTCAAGATTGCCGTAATAGTATAATCTTAGTGCAGGTTTTATCGTTTTTTTTTTTTTTTTTTAAGATAATCACGTCCCCTGCTTGGGGCTGTTACTCATCTTTCACTGTAGTTTTACTGACAGAAAAAAAAATAATAATAATAAAAATCACCGTACAAAAGTGGTCATACAATGCTGCTCGATTGTCTAGTTTTACTTTTACTGTTTCAACAATAATTTTTACCGAATGGAATAGTAATTTTTATCGTTAGTACAATGATTTTTTATCCAGAATTTTTTTTTTTACAGTGTTGTCTCTGAAAACAAATAAAATCAATCACCAAATTTTTCCACCCAGTCGATTATAGGAAATGCTAATTTCCTCTNCCTGTGAAATGTGTACAATGTCAACATCAACTCCTTACACCAAAACGTGAAAGGCTACTCATCTTTCTCTGGCGTAAATGGGAGGTCCGAGCTTTACTCAACGGGAAAAAAACACAATAGCATCTAAATTTCCATCGCTAACGTCTACGGGGAAAAAATATAGAAAGAAAGGGAAGAAAAATAAAGGGAATCCTTAGATCTCACGTGATAATAGAATTGTTAAGTTTTATCAAAGCTGTTCTCTTTTGTGGTAATATTCTTTGATTAAATGTTCACGGTATGCTTTGGGGCTTTATTTAAAGGAAATGGAATAATATTTTTTCATACACTATTTAACATTCTTAAAATTTGCTTATTATTCCGCTGTACGCGTTTACAAGGCAAATTATAGTAAGAAAAAAAATGCTATGTATGCATGCATGCAGGTTTCCTGAAAACAAGTTCAAAAGAGAGCTCGCAGGGCAACTACGGGCTCATGGACCTTGTGGCTGGGGTTCATTGGCTGAGAGAAAATTTGCCAGCTTTTGGTGGCGATCCGAATCGAATAACTCTCATGGGCCACGGCACTGGAGCTGCTCTTGCCAACTTTCTCGCTGTTTCTCCCATGTCTAAAGGTAATAAATATTATCGCTCACTTACACATTGGTGGCCGCCGCCTCCTAATGTGGTGTACACAAAAACAAACATCGTGTTTTCATTACTTTTTAATAAAGAATCAAGAATTAAAGGCTTTGCAATTTTGCGAGAGGAAAAAAAGAAAATTCCGAGCACACATAATATGTATGTACATATAATGAATGGATTTGAAAAGTTTCAAATAAAATTTGACTGTATTTATAAAGGTCCTTGAAATTAAACCGTAATTAAAGTGGAATAACGAAAGGCTAGATACCTATATAAGACGAATAAAGAAAAAAGGAAGCACGTACGGGGGTTAGGCTAGATATTTATGTATTTATAGGTGTATACTTACTATTGCCTCAGCAGAGACTGCAGGCCGAGGTTAAGAATAAAAAGAGAGCATGTAACGGTAAAGGTATATATATTTATAAGTACGTACCTAGAGTGGTGCTACTGGTGCTTGCACATGTCCCTTACACACAGCCATCGGTCCTTAACAAGCTTCCTCAAGTAGGTTGGTTGAGCTCTCTCTCTCTCTCTCTCTCTCCCCGACGTGGTAGCTCTGCTTTCCGCTAACAACCTCCTTCCTCGTGGCCTGGATTGCCGGTCCGCCTGCTTTTGACCCTGCCATTTCGCTAACGAATCTTCTGTGCTGTACCTACTGATGCCTGCTCCTGGTGCAGTTATAGATGCGGCTGATGTCCTCTTCTCTCTTTATACACTGTGTGCTCGTGTTTGTACTGATGAGAACATGATAAGAGCACTGCTGCCACGCGCCGTGGGGTCTTTCGTTAGCTTTCGTCCGAATCCATGTGCGTACTGGCTAACATGGCCAGAGACAGAGACTGCTGGCTACTACTGTACAGTTGTACCCGCTCAAATACACGCGAGAGTTTATGAGAGATGTAACTTACCTACTTGTACCTGTATAACTCTCAATACTTATTTGCGCGCAACTCCATCATCTGATCATCACCTATCACCGTCTTTCTCTATGAGTACCTTACCTACATGTGTGTGTGTGTGTGTGTGTGCGCGTGCATCCTACCATACAAACTTGTAAACTCGTCTCGTGTAGTCCATATAAGCGCGACCGGCGACGCGCGTGTGCCAATTCTCTGCGCCTGAACCCTAAACACGTACTAACACGTCCGCGGCGCGCGCACGGCGCACTCTGCATCTCTGTAATAAGATGATGCGTAGATACGTGGTGTTTATTATTATTATTATTATTATTATTATTGTGTGTAGAGTATTCGATTAAATTTCGTTTGCATTCGTCAAAATTCACGTGAAAAATCTCCAAGCTCATATTTTAGTACACAATTTGAAGTATGCCATTATTATTGTTACTTTGGGTTATGTAACTGTCATTAATGTCCAAATCGGTTTTTTTTAATTTTTTTTATTTCAATAATAATTAAATACACCAACGTTGTATTGATATTAGAAAAACAGCAACGAAGCATTGTAAAGATACTGGCTGAATGAAGAAAAAAAGGTACCTACGAAAAATAACAGTCGACTGTTTATTAAATTTTAATATATGAAAGAAAGTTTAGTGTAGAAACGAGTAAATGCAAAAACTTTTCATTTATTTTCAGAAATCCTGTGGAGCAAAGGATTTCTTTTGTTTTTTCTTGCTTATCACTCATACCCTCGATCTATCGATATTTATCGAAAAATGATAAATCAATGCACACACGTACACAATGTACTGCAGTACCTATATAAAAAGTACGAATTCAAATAACTAATGAAAACTTGAAATTAGGCAATTGCGCTAAAACCAGTGTTGGTTATCTTGACGAACACACATGTGAAAGAGAGTCAAGCGAAATAGAAATTCCACGCACGAAAATCCATCATATTTGAATAGAGTTACTCCATGTGCGGGCATATTTCAACCCCTTCTTTATCTTACAATAATCATATGCACATAATTTCAAGAGAATAATATAATTGTGAAAATGACATGTAAGTATAATTATATACTACAGCATATGCATGCATATACATATATATACCCAACGGGAGATCGCTTTTTCTCGCGCTTGAAAAAAAAAAAAAAAAAAAAAAAAAAAAAAAAAAAAAATTAGATGAAGAATGCGTGCAGTCCGTTGTGGATGTTAATCCACGCAGTTATTTGTTGGGGGTGCTCACGAATCCAATCAAAAATGGAAAAAGCTCTCGATTTACGTGACGACAAATAAGTATACATATATATGTACGCATTTTAAAAAGAGATAAACACTCGTATGGGTATACAGAGTTTATTGAAACGAATTATTGCATGACAAATTGTAGTTTTCTATAAGACGAGCCAGGATTGTACGATTATTTGTTCACCAGTGATTTATCGTATATCCATAAGCTCTCGATCTTGTGGTACAGATATAGTGCTTTGATAAACAAAAATATCTTGAGTGATGCAGTGTGAACTTTTACCGTGATACATTACGGAACGCACAATTATTTGGAAAAAAAGCCAAATGTATATAGTCCCAAAAAAAATACAAGTACTTAAATAATGTTATTGCCGTTAAGCATCGACTCATATAAGCTGACAAACATAAAAAGAGGCATTTCCAACTATTTGCGTGTATGAGTACCCTCTATAACTATGAATCAAAATTAAGAATTGAAAAAATAAATTAAAGTATTATAATAACAAATAATAAATTAAATGAGTAAATTATCATTAACAATAAAAAGTGATTTTTGAACAATCACAATTTTTTTTCGCCAACAACGAGTGTGATATGCGAATTATCTATATGCAACACCAATCCATAAATATGTAAACGAGCAAAAAAAATCTCTCGTTGTGAGCATTCTTTGGATTGTAAAATAAATACTTGATTCTGTAAGATCAATTTATACAATGGCGGTGCATCTATTAAAAATTGAGATTGGTTTTATTAAATGAAAAAAAAACTTTTTAACAAATTACAAAATACATTCGATAGTGGCAATTTTCCCTGCGACAGTGCGAGCATGGAAACTAGACCAGAACTATTACTGTTGGGAGGTATTTAACTAATCCTTATTGGTTATCGAGAGTGTAAAATTGTTGACATTAGAATTTTTTTTTTTACAGTGTTGTCTCTGAAAACAAATAAAATCAATCACCAAATTTTTCCACCCAGTCGATTATAGATTTTCACATACCAAGCAGTTTTTTTTTCGAGAGTTCCCCTACCAGAACTTCTGCGACTCAAAAAATGTTCTCAAATAACTATAGAGTAATCGTTTTGCGAAAATTTATACCCGAATACTTTATTGTTACGTAGGGAAGATATTGGTAAGGAGGCGCTTCGCGAGAATGATCAACATAGATTCCTTCAAGAGCTTTATTCAAGATACCGAAATCATAGGCAAGGTAGCGCGTGTGTTCCCTTCAAATGCTCGTCGTGTACTCCCCCAATAGACTCTCTCCTCGCTCGCACTTCCCTTCCCCTGGCCCCAAGGCCCCTCGTTATGAGGTTTGAGGAGAGAGAGAGCGTACAGTCTCACCTATACTATTGTACGTTACACTATAACTTAACAGTTGCACATCCATTTCCATACACTCAGATGATCCTCGTAATTTTTTTGTTATAATATTGTAACTGTTATTATTACAATTTTTTACTCGCATGAAACGTTAGCTTTTACCTTCCGGGCGAAGTTCTCCTCTTGTTGAGCAAGAAAAAAAAAAAAAAAAATGTTGCACCAGCGCGTGTAATAAGACGATTGTATACTTTACACCCTTTACACCCCTAGAAACGAAAACCAGCCCTCCACTCCGCTTCACTACATTACTGTACGTATATAAAATATAATACAGAGATAGAGCCGGTCGTGTGTGTTGTTTTATGTACAAGAGAGCCACGTGCGCGCTTTATATATTTTACATGCACATACAAATACACTGTATGGCTTGCAGACGCATCGGAGCACGCAACGCAGTGGAAAAGTACCTGAGCCGAAAATAAGTACAAAAGATAATATAGTGGCAGCAGCATGAGTTCCAGTTTCATTTTGCCCCCCTTTTCGGGTTTATCGCTATAGTATTTCTAGCCCCGGGCTCCGCTGGCATTTTGCTAATCGCGAACGTTGTTGTCGCTCTCGGTCTTGCCGTAGCGTTTGGAATATAATTTGTTAAGGAAAAAACAAAATTAAAAAAAAAAAAAAAAAAAAAAAAAAAGGTATTACAACATCATATCGCACGCCCACGCGACAGTGGAAATAGAAAAAGTAGGGCAAAACCGTCCATCATTGAGAAAAAAAAAAATTACTAAGGGAACGCATCTATTTGCAGCATAACGTCAGAACACATCGAGAGAATCTCACGTATATACTTATGTCTATGCTGTGCATATAGACTACGCGCATTGACTACGTGTACTAATTTTACAATAGAATCGCAGCCTCAGTCTGTGCATTACGTGCAAATATAGCCGCGTACATAATATAGTACGAGGAACGAAGAGTTACGTATATTTGGCATATATTCAATCGAGAGAGCATCATCAAAGAGCTACTACGTCATACGCGATAAATGATGCCAATTATACATACGACCACGACGACGACGACGAAGAGCAAGTTTTATTATTATCATCAGTTTTAACCAGTGTTTTGTCACCCCCTCCCCTCACAACCGTCCCCGTTTCTGTGCCTATTCACTAAATGAAAGTTTTACTATACGACTGTAGTACCTCCTATACCTCCCCTCGACACACGACCCGGTCGAGCTTTATTTATTTTGGGCGACGACAACCTCGTCGTCGTTGCTGCATCGTATCCCTGGTCAGAGAACTTTGAAGAGATTTCATTAATGCAATCATTCATGTATCATGTTTTTATGCACCCAATTTACTCAATATTTCAGAAATGATGCAGAAAATATTTGTATCTATTCTTTTCTCATATATATAATTATATTGTACAACCATACAGCGTGGTTCTAAAAGAAAAACAAAAATGATGTTACACAATTATCTTCTAC